TGTATTATCACAGATAGGGGGCAGGTATCAATAAGAATTTATTCTTCTTCCTGCTCCTTTTCATGCATGGAAACGGTGTTACTTTAATTGAAAGGAAGGTTGTGTATGGGAATGAATTACTGCTGTACCATGTGTGAAACAAAACAAAAATAAATAAATTATAAATGAGTAAAAAAATGTTGCGGGATACAGGTTCCTCTTGCGTTCTTAGCTCAGGGTGAGCAGGTGGGTGAGCTGGTGGTGGGCCCAGCAGTTGCTTCATGGCTTCCTCCGGTGAGCACCTGCCGGCCACATGCCGCTCCCACCTAAGGAGTGGGGATGGGTGAGGCAGCAGGCTGCGTCCTGGCTGATTGCAGGCCCCGCCCCACCTCCTACCCCCATCGCCCAACTGAGGCCGCTGAGCCTGGCGGCCCTCACCCGGGGAGCCGGCATGGGCGCCAGAGCAGCCCGGACCCCTGTCTCTCCCTGCTGTCCCATTTGTGGATCCACCACAATTTTCAACACACAGAATGTTTAAGATAGTCTCACCACTGTTTGGCATCCCGTCAGTCAGTAGAAAAATCATATCCATACTCCTCTCTGGAACTTTCTTTTCTTTTCTTTCTTTCTTCAGCAAACTAACCGCATCCAGTATAGCACTGTTGATGTTGGTGCCTGAAAAGCAACGATGCTTTGAGTAACATAAAAATCTCATCATGTTCAAACTTTTACTTTACTCTTTTACTTGTTAAGCCTTGACCAAAAGATTGATAATATTCTCTCTATGCACTACGTCTTTCCATGAAGACTGGATTCAGTTTAGTTAGACTATAGCTCTGTACAAAAGTTCTCAAGACATTTATTAAAGTTCTGAAATGAAAACACCACCTTAATTGTTTAATCTACACAAAACCTAAAAGTGTAAAAAAATAATATTCCTCTGTTTTCTATGGTATTTTGAGCATGACTCTTTCTTGGCCATGGCAGCTACTTCCTGTAGCTGTCTGTGGTCACTAATCATTGAATTGTTCTTTGTCCAGGGTGAAACAATTGTACAGGATAATTGTTTAAGAAATAAATAAAATTAATAAATTTCTCTAATCTACACATGGATAAATTATATATACATACACCTGCGTAATATTGGATTAAATATCACTTAGCAAGTTGCACCTCAACTAGATTGATTGATAGCCATCAACAAGCTTCTGGCATAATTCTATATCTAATCACTCTTCTTAGCAGAATTGGTACAGTTCGCTTAAATCAGTTGGTTTAGAGGCATAAACCTTTAAAATGTAGCTCACAGATTTTCAATAGGGTTTAGGCTGCGGCTTTAGAAAGTTAATTTCAGAAGGTCATTGTTGCCCTGCTTCAAATATTTTCCTGTTGGAACACCCGATTGTGTCCAAGTTCAATCATTTAGCAGCTGATCTGAGGTGAAGTTGAAGAGTTTGGAGGTAATCCTGCTTCTTCATTATTCCACTGATGTTGTGCAATGTACCAGTACCTCTTGCAGCGAATATATGATGATCACCCTGCTTGACAGCCTGTTCCGTGTTCTTAGGTTTGAAAGCCTCACCTTTACTTCTCCAAATATTCTTCTCGTCATTGACATCAGATAGCTCAATCTTTGTCTTGTTTGACCATAAAACTTTTCCCCAAAGAACATCTGACTCGTCCATGTGGACTGCTGCAAATTTCATTTGAGCTTAAATATGTCGATTTTGGTGCTGGGGTGTCTTTCTTGGTCGGCACCCTCTCAGTCCTTGATAGTGAAGGTGGTGTTCCAGCAGTCTCCAGTTCATTGTAGCCTTGAGCCTTTGTGGTTTCTGTGACGTTCCTCAATATCCTGATGAATTTCCTCCCATCTGAAGATGACAGTTTGGGTCTTCTCACCAGTGTTGGTCAAGTTACTTGAAAAAGGTAATCATGTTACTTTACTGATTACTTATTTTCAAAAGTAATTAATTACTTAGTTACTTTTTAAAAAACACGATTTACAACCTGAATAGGTGATAAAGCGATAGATCTTTCAGCCCAATTCTACTTGTTCTGCATAATCCATCATACAAAATGTAATCAAATGGAAAAGTC